AGATGTGTTATTACACAATGATTTTTCATAGGACTTTATTCGTTGAAAAGCTACAGGGTAGCCTACGATGTTCCATCATGTCCTTATTAAACACTGTATATGTACCTTTGATGATTTATATTATATATATATATACACCTGTATGTAAGTTTGAAAGGCAAATGGGAAAAACCCATAAAACAGCAAACGGCCATATAATGCAAAACAATTTAAAATTAAAATTAAAACGGAACAGTAGAGAAAATCCGATCAGAATGACAAAATAAACTAAGCATCCACTGGAAGGAATCCCAATATCTGCAGATGGATCCATTTCGGCCTTCCAGGCCTCATCAGTGCAGCTAGGGTACAGACCCAAACGAAACGTTCAACCAGCTTAGGTAGGGCCCAAACTAGTCCCACGACCACTAATGATTACAGAGCCAAACCAAGGCAATATATATACACAGCCCAGGTGTGAATGCAAATAGTGGAATACAAGCTATGCGGCTCGGTTCCAGTAGATACAGAGAATATTTTGTCATTCTTAACGCGTCCTACAAAATTCTTACGAGACAGCACTAGTCCGTGAATTTGTGAACAAGATCGGAGATCTAAAGATGCAATCTTATATATATATATATATATACAAATAATATATATATCAAATTAATTATGTCATCATTCCTGATGATGACATAATTAATGTTGAAATATTGAATCCCAACACAATGGCATGTATTTCAATACTTGGAGTATGTATTACACTTCCTTATATACATATACATATATATACACACACATATATATACACATATACGCATATATACATATACACACATATTTCATTTCATTTATTTCGCCAAATAGATATAAATATATAAAATATACAAATATAAAATTTCAAAAATAGTAATTGTTGTCATGTGGCAGGATTGCCCAAAAGTAGAAGATCTACTGTCGAGGGGCTCTCCTCATGACAACAAAAATACAATATCGCAATTCTATATACATAATTTTAAAAAATATTATAAACATTAAAATGCAGTACGGTATAAGAAACATAATATAATTACAAAAAGATTATAAAGGCCTAATAAAAAGTACAGATAAAATAAACCACAGAGAGTGCAATCGAGCAAATTCCCAAATCCCTTAAATGTTGTTATAATAATCATTCAGTTCCATCAAAAAATTTTTAATGTTAAAGAGTAATAAATTTCTTTTATCAGCAGGTAAAGCATTCCAGAGTCAGGGGAAACTATTAAAAGCTGTTGTTTTAAAGCATTATATGTGTGTACATACACATATACACATATACATACATATACATATACATACATATACATATACATATATACATACATATACATATACATATATATATATATATATATATATATATATATATATATACTCAATTTTTTGTGAAACAGTGCTCAATCCCTTACATATGTAAACATTACAAAGAAGAGGAATGTAGGAGTGTGAAAGAAATTGCACCACTGCGAACCTCTGCTGTATATACTGTACATACATACTATTGCTTCTCCTCGGCTTTTTACTGTATACTTGTAAAGATTTTGTATTGTTATTGCCAAAATGAATAAAATAAAAATAAATAAAAAAAATATATATACATATATACATACATACAACCTACACATACATAAATAGATATACATACATATATAACTAAAGAACGGCAAAGTGGTCATAAACGGAATGTGTGTTTTTTTACCCTTACATTTACAATAAGGTCTGAGGAAAATAAGTTTATGAATGAAGATCCCTCTATTCAAAGCTTTTGTTAATGCTCACCAATACGAGTTGTTATTCTCATCAATTTATGAAAGATAAAATTGAAATTATATTTGACAACTTCTTTAAGAATTACCTAAAAAGAGCCTGGTCAGTAACAACAAATGTGTTAAATACCACCAGGACAAGTTGATAGTCCCTCGAAAGTTTAAAATATTTTAAATCATTCAAGGATAATGTTTTAGAAGGTATTTTACAATCTTTAAAAAATATTTGTAAACAATAATTTTACTGTTGTTATAACCATTTTAGGAATTTTAAATTAACCACACTGTTTTAACATTCCAATTTTATTAAAACAAATGCAATTTTCTTTTGATTATTAAATGTTTTATTCTACTTTATCAAAGCTATTTTAAAAGCTAAGATTCAATACATTATTATTATTATTATTATTATTATTATTATTGGCTTTTCCCAGCAGTAATGGGAAAAGCCATTGTTTTTGTTCTGATTTTTTTTTTCTTTTTTCTTGCATGTATTTTTCCTATCTTTTTTCCGTGCTTTGCAAAAATATTATTTATATACTAATAAAACATAAAGTAGGAAAATTTGGGATATATTTAAGCAGTTGTAACGAATATAGATATCTTAATCAGTCTATAGAGACTTAAGTTTCTTTACAAACAAAATAGCAATTTCCTTTTTGACATTTATATTTTTTAACATTGTAACTTTCAAAATAAGTAATATCAAGATTTCTTTTAAATAAGGAAACGTTTGCACATGTCCTGAGATCACTTTGTAGGTTATTCCACACCTTTGTCGCTGTATACGAAAAGCTTTGTCGGCCAACTTTAGTATTTTTGAAATCAATAACAAAGTCATGTTTATTTCATGTATCATGACTATGATATGAGTCAAAGGTAAGGAAGAACAGGTCAAATGATCTAGGTAACTTGCCTTTATTGTAAAGAAACATTAAACTTGCTACATTTTTTTCATATAGATCAAATACGTTTAATGTTTTAGTTTTAACAAAAAGCGACACAGAAGGATGTAAATAGTGGACGTTACATATAATTTGAAGGGCCTTTTTCTGTAGTATATGAAGTCTATTCAAATTCACGATGCTCCCAGTCCCCCATACTGTGATGCCATATGGGATGGTTGGAAGGATAAGAGACTTATAAATAATTAGTAGTATGTCATATGGCAGTACATTTTTTAAAAGGTTCATTGCTCCAATAATTGCAGAGATCTTACTTGAGATTACATTTGTATGGTGTGTAAAATTTAATTTCTCATCAAGAGTGATACCTAGAAAATTTTACATGGAGGACTCTTTCAATAATGGTTTACCTGATTTAGCTCATTATTCATTACATCAATAGCGTCATTTATATGGCTGTGTTTTAGGAAAATGTTTGTATCATCAGCAAACATTATTAATTGAGTCCTGGTGCATATTGATAGTAAATCGTTTACAAATAATAAAAATAATAAGGGGCAAAGAATTGACCCTTGAGGGACTCCAAATTTTATTGTATTTATTTCGAATTTTCCGTCTTGTGTAGTAACATATTGTTTTCTTTCACTTAAGTAACTACTGTACCAATTGGGAACAAGACCTTTGATACCATAATAATGTAGTTTCTGTAGAAGGATTACAGGATCTAGTGAATCAAAGGCCTTTGATAGGTCGAGAAAAACTCGAATAACAAAGAGTTTATTGCCGATGGCTGCTGATATTTTCTCAATTGTCTGCAGAAGGGCATGTGTAGTAGAGTGTCCTTCCCTGAAACCAAATTGTGTTTCAGTTAGAATTTTGTAGTTGTTTAGAAAAGATGTTGTTTGATCGTAAACGATACATTCATAAATTGTTGACATACAGGGTAATATGGATATAGGCCTGTAGTTTTTTATATCATCTCTAGCACCACCTTTATAAACAGGTATATCTTTGCTAGTTTAAGTTCATTTGAAAAGACGCCTGTACTAAGTGATAAGTTAATCAAATGTGTTATAGGTTTAGCTAATATATCTGCATTGTCCTTTATATATTTAGCGCCGATATCATCGTGACCAGGCGACTTATTGGGGTTTAAGTCCGATATGTATTTTTTAACATCATACTCTGTTTAATGAACATGGAATTTGAAATGTTATTTTTACTTATATAATCCATGGGATTTACATTTATATAATCTATATTTGCCTTTTCTGCCATTTTTTCACCAATATTGATAAAGTAAGAATTCAATACTCCTGCCATTTCAGCAGGGATTTCATGTATTTTTGACTGTGATTTCATTCTTGTTGGAAGGCCTAATGTTTTGTTTCTCCCCAAAATGGCGTTTATGGCGTTCCATGTTTTTTTAACATTATTTTTCCTATTTTCAAAGTCTTCTTTATAGTAAATAATTTTTCGTTTTCTTATAATTGATGTTAGTTTGTCTTTGTGTTTTCTATATTTAAATTTGTTTTCACTTGTTAGGTTTTTTAAATATTTAATATACAATTTTTCTTTAATATTTAATGATCTTTCAATTTCATCTGTCATCCAGGGCGATCTTATTCTGTCAGTCCTTATTTTAATTTTTTTTAAATGGGAAGCATCTATCAATTAATGCTGTAAAGATAGACGCGAATAGATTGTATGATTCATTTGCATCATTGCTGGTACGAACATTTTCCCAAAACTGATTTTCTAGCTCACTCCTAAACAGTTGATATTGCTGAGATGAGTAAGTTCGTTTAAAAGTATATTTCTTGGTTGTATTATTGCTACATTTTTGTGACTTATCAATACAAATTATTGGGCAATGATCGGATATATCACTAAATAAGAGATTTGTATCAATATCTTCCATATTACGCGAGTTAGTGTAGATATTATCGATTATCGTTTCAGTTTCTTCTGTTATACGTGTGGGTTTATTTACTAATGGTATAAATGATTCGGAAAGCATAAAGTCAACATGATCTTGGGTATTTCCTACGTCATTATTTATGTTTAGGTCAATATTATAGTCGCCCATAAGGTAAGTTTGCTTTTTTTCACCGCATTGCATTTGTGCATAAATTCACTCATTTGGACATTAAATGTATGTATATCTGATTTGGGTTGTCTATAGATTACACCGCAAATTATGGTTCTATTGTCTATATCAAATTCAATAATGATACTCTCTGTGACATGGAGTATATGGGATAAATCATTTCTTAATCAATATGATAAATGTGACTTAATGTATAGAAAAACACTACCACCAATTGTTTCTCTATTTTTATGTATAGCTGTATAATTGTTCAGTTGATATAATTCAGTGGGATGTTTGCTGGAAAGCCACATCAAATAATCAAATCGAGATATATAATTTAATAATTGGTCAAATTTTCTTACAATGCTTCTACAGTTTAGGGAGAAACATGAAAAATAGCTTGATTTATTGAAAGAATATTTTGATTTAAAATCGTCAACACTTATATATTCATTTTCAATGTAGTTAGGTATATTAATATTAATTTCATCTTCATCTGTGTTAGTTTGTAGAACATAAGACATTAATACAATACAAAATTATTAAAAACAATATGGAATATAAATATTAGAAAATTATATTATAAATTATTAGAAAATCTCCAATTATAAGTCGAATTTATAATTAAAGTAGGTAAATAGATAGCATCGTGCACTTGCTCCGCATCTTCTGAAACTCATCATTAAGTATATTTTAATTAATTAAATGTTATATTTTAGTTAATATTAGTTAATACTGTATCTTCTACCATGACATTAGAATCTAAACATACAGTTCATTTTCTACTGCTGGTATTTCTGGTAGTGTTTAGACCGCAAGCTGTGGCATCTTCGATACTTGCTCCATTAATAGGGCCATGGTAGGGTCTTCCATCAATATACAAAATTCCATTTCGGAAAACTGGGTGTTTTCCTGACTTAGCGCACAATGGTTATGAGTCACAATGTACCTCACTATTACTGTTGCAGCCATTTTTCAGGTCTCACTAATAACATCGCAGTGAACTTGGTTTTCATTGTTTTTTATTTTTTTCCACTTCATTAAAAATTGATTGGATTTCCGTGTTTACTTTATAACTTTTAAGGAATTTTCTCTTTGTTGCAATTTCAACTTCATTTCACTTTAAAGCAATGGGGAAAAGCCCTATGTTCTGTTATTCAAACAGACATAGTATTAAAGTCTAGTTATTATTAATAGTATGTTACTAAAACCTATCTTAAGAGAAACTTAGACAATGGAGAAATTAGAGAACAATTAAAAAAACAATGTTAAGGGGAAAATAACATTAACATTATTATTATTTATATTTTTATTTATTATTATTATTATTATTATTGTTATTATTATTATTATTATATTTGAATGTATATGTATAAAACCTAATACCACATCATACTTCCATTGTATCTTTAATATTCATTCACTCTGTGAATATGATATAGGTTTCGACATAATACCCGTTATATTATTACTTCGCCATGCAAACCTTTAAACAATATTAAGACTTTTCGCAGATGATACTAAATTATTTAAAGTTATTCAATCTGATTCTGATAGAGCTCTCTTTCAATATGATGTGGATGCAATGTATCAATGGTTTAGAGATTGGCAGTTCAATTTAACAAAGTGCAAAATACTCCATTTTGGGTCTCGAAACTTGTTGTTTGAATACTATATTGGTGAGGGTACTTCCAGAGTTAGCATTGAGAGTGTCAATGAAGTAACTATCTAGGAATTGTAATTGATCGTAAATTTAATTTTTGTGTTCATGTTTCTAAGGTTGTAAGTACCTGCTAATAAGATGCTTGGGATGATATGTCGATCTTTTAAATTTCTTGATGGTTCGAGTTATCTTTATTTATATAAATCTATGATTAGACCTAAACTTGAATATGGTGGAAGTGCATGGATTCCTCTTTACCAGAAAGATAAAGATCGCTTAGAGAAGGTCCAGCAGAGATCTTACAAAACTTGTACCAGAGCTAAGAAATAAGACATATGAGGAGAGACTAAGGGCCTTAGAATTAACTACACTTGCTTTTAAAAGGAAAAGGACTGACTTATTACAAACATTCAAATTATTTAGAAATATAGATAGGCTTAATATTGATAAGTTATTTAAAATGTCGAAGTTTAGCCAAATTAGAGGACACAAATTTAAGGTCTCTAAGCCGAAATTTAAACTAAATGTTAGAAAATCTTCATATGCAGTTACAGTAGTGAACGATTGGAATCAATCGCTAAATCATATAGTTGAATCTAAAATAATCATTGAATTTAAATCGGGCATTGCTAATCTTTGGTCTGACCACCATCTTAAGTTTCGCCCGTATGTTACAGAAGAGTTTGCACAAATATTAATTGAGGGACAAATGAGCTAAGTTCTCTAGTCCTAGTCTTCAAGGTAAATTCAAGGTAAATAATATTCATAATGTTAACATTCGTTACCAAGAACAGAATTAAAAGATCTCATAGAAGAGCAGTCTTGTGAAATGCACTTGTGTATAGTCAACAAAACCCAACTAACCTAAACAAATTTAATTGATTTCAATGTTGTAATTACTGTACATATTGCTTTTCTTTATCATTGTTGATAATTTCATACTTGCATGTCTGTATGTTATACACGGTCCCAGACCATTCATGTTAAAATAAAGCTGTTAATTATGTTATGGTACGCAAAATAAAACAAGAGAACAATGCAAACTAACAACTGTAATAGGAAAGTCTCATTTAAAATTAAAATCATATACAACTTGAAGTAAAACTGTAGATAAAATATATAAATATTATATAAAAAATAATATATAGTCAACTAAGATTATAAGCAATTATAGTCAAGATATTATTATTATTATTATTTGAAATAAAATAAATAAAATAAGGACATATTTAGAAAATATAAGCAGAAAGTTTTTAACAGTCATTGACTCTTCTTCAAACACTCCTTCAGTGTATAAGTTATATAACTGTTTTTTCCTCCGGAGACTGGTTTTGACATTTCGTGTTCATTCTAAACAAAATATTGTTTGACATAAAAATACTTACCAATGCAGCTAGGGGGCTGCTCTATGTAGGAACCGTCAATGCAATTCAAGTACTCATTCCCATCAAGTGTATAACCTTCAAAACATTTATAACGTATGACACCGCCATGGATAATGGTTCCATTGAAGAGGCCATTTATAACAAGGGGTGGACTTTGACAGTTAGCTATATAAAAATATAACAAAGAAATTGAAATATATTAATGTAGGAGAATGCTAAATATTGTTCAGAATTTTTCTTTCAATGTAACCATAATCACTGGCGGATTTAGAGAAGAAAATTTGCGAGGGCATGCCCCCCAACCCCCTAGGGTATTCTTATCATGGTCGGCCCCCACTTTCGGCCCCTCTTCTGCTCCCCTCCCCCTTTTGGACATCTCTAGATCCGCCCCTGATAATAATTTGTCTAAGAATAGATTTGCTAATACTAAACTAAATGAACTAAACAATACCAAAAGTAATCAAACTTCCTTAAATAGCAAATGTTATGCCTCTTCAAACAATGGAAATTGGCAAATGTTAGAACAACATATGGCAATTCTATGGATAGCTGTCCTAGTCAAAGAATTGTTTACAGTATGTTTATTTGGAAAAAGAAGTTAATTATAATTATAATTTCCATTGGGTTATCTCTATGATATTTGCCCTGATATGACCTAAGTGTGCCGAAAACTGATGTCCAAGCTCTAGATTTATAGTTCATATACAATAGGTTAATTTAAAAATTTTGAAATTCAGTGGTGTTGTTTAGAAAAATATGAATACTTTTTAATATAAACACTTAAATTTTCATAGTTCAATAGTAATATAATTTAAAAAATTAAAATATTTTGTCCATGGAAATGCTGTTTATTACGTTTGAAAGATCATTTCCTTAGTCTTCTTATACACAAGAAGCAAAATGAAGTTAAGGAATTTATTGAACTGCGAGTATCAAGGGGAAGATTGTTCCACAGTTTAACCGAGCGGTATTTAAATGTTTTTTTCCCCAAATTCATTGTTCCATTTAGGTAAAACTAATGTATTTTTAGATTTGCTTCTTGTTTTTCGACTGTGATAATTGTCGATTTGCTCATAAAAATTATTTAAGTACTCAGGGACTGTGCTTGTTAAACATTTAAAGGTCATAATAAATGTATTCTCTTCCCATCGTTGATATACATGCTTCATATGTATACATACATATGTTAAACAGCCTTAGCTACTGTTTAACATGACTGGTAATCTACTCAGGATTTGCGTTGCCCTTCCCCTCTAAATGTTCAGGGTCTAGATGTCACTAAAGCCTTTGACCGAGTCTATTGGTTTTGCTTAACAAACTTCATTCTTACGGGATATGTGGCCTTGTTCATGACTGGTTGTCTTCGTTTCTCATGGAGCGTAGTCAGAGGTGTGTTTTCACGGGGCCTGCCCTGTTCAATCTTCCGTAGGGATCGGACCTACTATTTTTAATGTATACCTTTTTGAACTAGCCAACTACATATCTTCTACTGTTATTCAATATGCTGATAACACCATCATTTACAGGACTATGAGGTCCTGAGAGGATGAAATTGTTATGCAAAGTTACCTTAACACTGTTAATAAGTGGAGTGTGAATAATAAATTTCCTCTTAACATCAAAAAATGCAATACTCTTCACTTAACTATACAGTATCTACATATCATAAATTAAATGCCTTAAGCTTTTACATTGGTAACGATGCTATTTCTAATGTTGAACAAGTGAAATATATTGGTATTGCATTTACTTCTGATTTAAAGGAGAATTTCCATATTGATAATGTATCTAACAAGGCTTCCCGTCTTCTGGGGTTTGTCAGAAGGATTATCTACTGTAGAAAACCTATTTTAATTCTCAAACTATATAATTACTATTGTTTGTCCTATACACAGCGTTGTAAACTTTTTGGACTTAGCTCTATTGAAGATCGTTTTTGTTATTTATTTATTATATTTGTTGCTAATTGACTCTGGGGGAAATATTCACTTTTTTTAAGATTTTTAAGTTTGTTCAAATCAATACTCACCACCCTGATAATCTTACTTTTACTCATTCCTTTACTAGAACTAATGTCTGTAAGTATTCTGTTTTTAATCATTTCCGTGGGCATGAAACAGACAACCAAATAATATTAGAGATACCATTTTAATTAATTTAAATTCATTTAGTAGATCTCTTAAAAGTTTATAAGAGAGATAATGATAACATAGAACAAATATTACTCTGAATAAAGAAAGGGAGGATTCCTGATGATGATATAATTAATGCCGAAATATTGAATCCCAACACAATGGTGTGCATTTCAATACTTGGAGTATGTATTATACTATCTTATCTGAGATTAATCAGTGGACCTTTCGGTTAAAAGGAGGTTATGACTCGACTTTTTAACCTTTATTGGGTCATCTTCATGAACGAGAATACTTTGACACTGAAAAAAAAAAAATGCTAAAATATGCAAATGAAGGGATTACACAAGTCCAACAATGGTGATTAATAGAGAGATTCAGTTCGCTTTTTGTTTTGTCTCTGTCTTTTAATGTTTTTATGACCCAATTTTCTTTTTAGGTTTGTTTTACTGTTTTAATGTATTCACTGTATTTTTATATGTTCTGAGACAGAAATAAATGAAATGAAATGAAATATGGTGTCCCCAAGAGCGTTGACCAAGAATTATAGTATCCAGTATGAAGATGGTAAATTAGGGATTTCCATATGGAAAGAAGCTTGTAGAATCCCTGGACCAAGAGTCAAGAGTCCTTCACATGGGTGTTCACTCATTTTAAACCTCATTTCTCATGTCATGTTTAAGAAAATTTTCCTTTCTTTTGAGTCAGATTTTGATCAGATGAAATAAAATTGGTTATGATGTTTTCAGACTGACATGTAATTAAGCTTCCCTTGCAAACTTTGTATCAAGACAATGGTTTACATTGGGATCTCCTCTGACACGAGTAGACAAATGGCAATAGCATGGCATTTTTTATACATTCAGGAAATGGAGAGAATGTTAAGTCCATTTGTCATCTTGATAAAACCAAGAGTGGCACATGGAGGGAGGCCAAACCATTTTCTCACAAACCTATTAACCATAAAATCAATGTCCTAAATGAGTGTAACCAATGTCATTTACGGTCAGGTGAAACTTAAGGCTAGGTAGTAAGTATTGCACAAACATCCTGATCTTATATTTGTTCTGAACGAGGGAGCTATCAATCCTACACATTTGTTCCTTAGTTAAATCATGAAAGTATGTGAATACATCTGATTCTGAATGATTGACTCTATGAATTTATGTGGATTACTTTCTATGGATCAAAAAAATAATAATGTGTCGTTCTTATATAGCGCTTCATGGATGGGATTCTCTAAATCAAAAATAATATTAGAGGGTCTTCCCATGACAAAGGCCAGTGAGCAACTGATAGGTGTGTTTATTCCTACTTATTAGGCAAAATCATATTTAAATGGGATAGAAATAATTTTTGAACAGTCAAGGTTATCTATGGATGGCTTCTAATTCCAGAAAATTAATTGTAGAGTCAAAACACATTAAGAATATGATAGGGGACAATGGGCATCCCTTGAAGATGCCTTTTTTGAAAAGATGAAAATGATGACCAGTATTTTGTGGAAATCGTTCCAGAAATTGTGAAGTATAGATTCTGAATACAGAGTAGGACATTTGTGTGTAAATTGAAACTACTGAGGGAGAAGTTTATGAGTTGGTACGAAACTGTCCAAAGGCATCTTTCAGGTCGAACCAGCTAACATGAACTATCTCTGGCTTCCTTTGATGTATCTTTACAAAAGCTTTATTCCTATGCCTTTATCAATATTTTGGATTCCCGGCACGCAAACTTATTTTTGCTTGTTAGAAATTTCTTTGATGAATTCGGGAGTTTCACACAAATACTCATCAAATGTAGTATTGAAGCAGAGACCAACTTGTTGGGGAGAAATTCACCTGAAGCAAAAGCATGGTGGATAGGTCAAAAGCGTTCATTTAATATCGAATTTTGTACAGCCCATAGTTGGCCACTGAGTTGTGGAACGACGTATTTAATATTTGTTTCTTTGTTTTTATTTCATGCTCACTTAAACATTACAGAAAAAATTTACAAAGCAAAACCATTCAAAATAAACATAGGAAAACATCAAAAAGGTAAAAACATCAGACAATCCACAGAACATGAATAGAAGAAAAGAAATACACAATTATATGCATCAGAAAAGGAAAGCAGGTCAGAGGGAGCATAGGATAACCCTTTAAACCTGAAGGTTTGTTTCCAAAGGGCTCCAGAAACAAATAAAGAAAAATGAAAAGAAATGAAAAGAAAATAAAATAAAAAATTGAAAATTAAAAAATTAAATAAATAATGAATAAATAAATAAAAATATAAATAAATATATATAAATATAAAGAAAAAATCTCTCAATTTTTTTTTTTGGGAAACAGTGCTCAATGCCACTGTAAAATCTTGGTAGAGCAAATATAATGTAGGTAGACAACGATACGTGTAAGGATTTTATTTTCGACTACAGAAAGGATGGTATATATATATATACGTGTTGTGGAATTTACAGCTGGGAGAAAATGTTTTCATTAGGAACAGGTATATTATAAGTGATGGGCGTGAGGTTTGTAGAAAGTGGGCGTGGAAATTAACAGTTCTTGAGCAAGTATTTGTTGCGGTGACGACAGGTGGAGATCAACTCTGATCGTTTGTTTAATGTTTTGTTACGGTCGGATGCGATGATGTAATACTTTTCTGTTAGGCATAAGTTGCAGCGTTTAGTGATATTGTTATATGGGGGTGCTCGTTTTATTATGTTCCATTTAATGGTGAAGGGGGTGTTGCTTTCTTTCAGTTCCCATATATATTTTGACAGTCTCGTGCTGTTCTGATGCTGTCTCTTATACACATCTTATATATATATATATGTGTGTGTGTGTGTGTGTGTATAATACATACCACGCATCTTAATCACAAACAAGTTGCAGTTGCTGATAAAAATACTTTTTAACTTTAGTTTTAAAAACACTTATGAAACCAATGGCCTTGATATGTATGGATAAAATATTCTATAAATTTATACTGTTATAGCACAAAGTGGTAGAAATATAAGTGGAATTTTGGTTATATAAGTTGAAACTTGATTTCAAAGTCAGAGATGCTTCCCCTTGTAAAATATGAGTGTCTATCGGAAATTTTTCTAAACTCATTAAGCATATAATCAGGAGCTATTTAATATATATTAAACACTTGATTTAGTTGTAATACATGATATTCGACATTTAAAAAAACTACTAAATGAAAATCAGAAAAAGTAAGATGATATATAGGACCTTTACCCAAAATAAACTGCAACATTTTGTTTTGTGCACGCTGAAGCCTGATTATATTTGCTTTACAAATACCATTATACCGTACACCATCAGACTCAACACAAGTACAAGGATTTTACGTGTTTTGTGTTTAAAATGACTGGAATTTCTATATAGAATTAATTTAACTTTGATTACAAGAGCAAATTACATCTCCTGTTAGCTGTTGTTCTAACACCAAAACCTAAGTAACAAATCGTTTTCTTTGGTTTATTGACTATCCATCAACAGTACAGGTCAAATCTGCAGATTGCCTGGAGAGCTGGCATACTGTGTTTCTATTGTTCTTTAATGAAGTCACTTGTTTGGCCAGTGCATTTATTCCCGCGAGCACAATGACTGGCAAATGTGGACTGTAAACTTTGCATCAGGCCTAGGTATTTCACGTAATAAAAATGTAATTTCTTGAGAATTTTCACACCAAGACGATTGTGTAACCATCTGTACACGTAAATTTAGTTTTATCTCCATGGGAAAAGACCTGAATTTACATCAACATTAAGCACAAATGGAGCACACTCGCAGTTAGCTGAATGGTCAAATATAAGATCTGATATTTAAAATTTTCAAGCGATTATAGAATTTGTCTATTGAATGTTTCAAGAAAACGTGGTCTTTCATTAAAAATTTTAAGGAGCGCATTAATATTAATATTAGAATTTAAAATACTAGAGGGTAAGCGACCGAAGCGAGCAGGTCAACTAACAGCTGTTCATTCCAAACAAGCCGGACAAATATCAATATTTTGGGTCACGTTACTTTTAGTTTTAACAATAATTTATCAGTAAACTATGAAAGTCTTGAGTTGTCTAGCTAGAAGAAATATGGTAACCTATTTACGTAGAGGTTTATAGGCCCAGTAATACATTTTTGTGGAATTTTTGTGTATTTCCGTCTGTAATTAGGCCAATCTTCTTTTAGTGGTCATGAATAATTGTTCTATTTTATTTAATCTAATCGCTATGTTCAACATACTAGAGGGTAATAATAATAATAATTACTTTATTTGTAAACGAAAAACTTGATCACAAATCAAATGTTTTTAACAAGGCCGTTTTAAAAGTAAATATTAACAAAATGTAAATTACAAAAACAATTACAAGACAAAAGAAAGACTTAACATTTTTTTTTTGTTAAAAAGCAAAAAAGAAATAAAGAAGTAAAAAGAAACCAAAAATATATATATTATCTTATGCAAGAAATTTCAATTATTTGTTAATATTTTTTTTAAAGTATAAACATTTGGGGCCATTCTCATATTGAGGTTTAGGTTATTCCAGACAATGGCTCCCTGATAGGAAAAACTTCTTTTCTTATATTCAGTACTTGGTTTGGGTACCTCAAGTAAATCATTAGACCTGGTCATATATGTTTTATTGTGCTCTTGAAATGTGTTTAAATGTATGTTTAAATAAGTTGGCATTTGAGAATTCATTATTTTAAAAATGGTTACAGCTTCATCTTGATACAGTTTGGTATTTAAACTATTCCAGTTTAAGTGCTTCTGAATTTGAATCATATCCTGAGACCTTTTTGAAATAATTTTAGCAGCCCTATTTTGTAATATTTGAATTTTATTTTGTAGAGTTTGATTAAATCGTCCCCACACAACATTGCAATAAGTAAAATTACATTGTTGACTGTATGTTTTCGGACAAGATATAATTACTTTTGCTAAGGTAGTATAATCCAGGAAGGATTTTTTTTATTACATTATCAAGTTTGATTTTATCTATGATTACCCCTAAAGTGTTTACAGTGATCAACACTCTTTATGTTTATACCACTGATGTTTATATTTAGATTTGAGTAATTTATTTTTGCAAATTTTTGATGAGTACCTATAATCATATATTCAGTTTTGTTGACATTTAAAGATAGTTTATTTTTTATTAGCCGGTTTTTAACATTTATTAGATCAGAATTAAATTTATTTGCTATATCATTAACATTTTTGGCAACACAATGGATTACTGTATCATCTGCATAAATACTTGTATTAAATTAGAAACACAGTTTGGGAGGTCGTTTATGTAAAGTATAAATATTAATGGTCAAAGAATTTAACCTTGTGGTATCCTGCGATTGCTACGGCAGCGTTCAGAAGTCACTTCGTTTATTTTAGTTACATGTGTTCGGTTTTGCAGATAATTGTTAAACCATTTTATTACATGTGGATTAAGATTAAAGTTGTTTAGCTTATTAATTAAACGATCATGATCAACAGTGTCAAAAGCTTTTTTAAGATCTAACATTAATAATCCTATAAGATTACCTTTATCAATCGCATCAATCCAGTCTTCAGTAATGTTTAACGGAGCGGAAGTAGTTGAGAAATTTGGTAGAAATCATGATTGTTGTTCATAAATTAGAGGGTCAATGAAAGGATATATCTGATCAAAAAAATCGTGTTTTAGATAAAATGGGCAAAATTGACACTGGACGATAATTGCATGACTCTTTGCAACCACCATTTTGAAAAAGTTAGGGAAAGTTTCAGTTTTTAATGACATACTTATTAGGTAAGTTATAGGAGCTGTAATTGAATTAATTGCAAGTTTTATTAATTTAGCAGGGATTTCATCCTCACCAGTGGCTTTTTTAAAGGAAAGTTTATTTATTTGCTCATAAATGTATTGGCATTCAACTTCATTAAAATTTAATCTATTGTTTTGTTTAGAAATATTAGTATAATTTTAATTTTTATCATCATCAAGATTTTGAAATTCCTTTGCCAAAGGAAGAGATAATTTACCTTTGCATTCTGCGTATGACGAACTATATTGACCATTGTCGCATGTAATCGTTGATTCTCCTACCAACGTGTAACCAACATCACATGTGAAAATGATGGACCCTCCATGATTAAAACTTCCAGTGTACTGACCATTGACTATACTAATTGATGCCTTACAGTTAGCTAAAAGAAAATTTGTTCAAGTTTTACAACAAGCTACAAAGATAGAAATTTTAAAATAATTAGAATCTTTATTTGTACAAAAAAAAATACAACTTAGAATGGTCATTTAAACAAAATAAAAATAAATAGGAAAAAAAACAAAATGAATACCAAGACGCCTTTCAAACTCACGACCTTAAGTTCTTTAGAACACATCCTTAACCGACCACGCAATTCATGCAACGTGCCCTATTAGTGGTAATGCCAATAACATACAGTAATTTTAAATTATTAGAATGTTTATTTGTACAAGAAAAAAAACATTATTTAGAATGAACATTTGTTCAAAATTAAAACACATAAAATTGAAAAAAAGAATAAAATTTCTTAAAATTGGAAAAAAAAATTTGAATACAAGACGTGTTTTGAACTGACAACCTTAAGTTCTTTAGAAGACATCCTTAACCGAAGGTCACGAGTTCGAATCGCGCCTCGGTGTTAATTTTCTTTTTTAATGAACATGAATGAGAATTGTTTGACAAAATAAAAAAATAAACAAATACGCAATTCGAACTTGCTAAGTACGCAATTCAAACTCACGAAATTAAGTTCCTTACAACACATACTTAACCGACCACGCCATCCATGCAACTTGACCTATATTCTTACTACAGTATAGATGGAGTAGTCGATTAACAATGTGTAGTAGGGAACCGAAAGTTGCGAGTTTGAATCGCGCCTCGGTGTTAAATTTCTTTTTTAATGAACATGGATGAGAACTGTTTGACCTTTTCTCTAGAACACATTCTTAACTGACCACGCCATTCATGCGATGCTACACTATTAGAGGGAAATATCAGTTACGTACAGTCATTGCTGAAACCCCCGTATTGTATTTTTAGGTGTAGGGGGAACCCTGGGTTCCAACCTAAAAAAAAGAGGCGATAGACTAATGTTGGAAATCACCTCTAGTTTATGTGTACAGAATTTCATTCACGTCCGTTCAAAACTGGGGAGGCTGGATGCTTTCAGTTTGAAACCCCTGTTTTGTTTTGAAGGTGTACGGGAAACCCTGGGGTCCAACTTGAAAAAAGGGCAATAAACAAATGTTGGAACTCTCCACAACAGGGGGGCCCTGGCCCCCGGCCCCCCCACTGGTGCCACCCCTGTTTCATGCACGTCCATTCAAAACTGGCGACGATGGACACTTTTGAAGTTTTTAAGTTGTAACAAGAACCAGGGGCGACGCTAGCGGGGGGATCCAGGAGGGCAAAGGACCCCATGTCGGGGACCTCTGGACCCCTTGCTTGGACCCCTTGTCGGGAAATTTCGAGCAATGACGTCGGGGAAAAATGAAATCTTCACCACCAAAAGTACAATTTAGGTATGCTTTCTAAGCTGTCAAATTTCAAGGATTAAAAACTATTTAGTGCAAGCAGTTTACCGTATGTGCAAGGTGTTATATACTATCGCGATTGTAAGAGTTGCCATGGTAGCACCAGATCTTCCCCGACAGGGGACTGGTGCCTCCGACATGTGGTTAGTACCCCCTACAGGGGGCCTCTTAACTTGCATGGTTTGCCATCAAATTATGCTTTTTAAATAAAGAATACCATAGCAGGCTTCCCCGACGGGGGGGTGTTGGGGGGCTTGGACCCACTTGTCAGGGAGCTTGGACCCCTCGTCAGGGAATTCCTGGTGCCGCCCCTGACAAGAACAAGAACAAGAACAACAGTGAGGCTCTGGGTCAGTGCTTCGCGCAGACCAAAAATAACAGGAAATTAAAAGGATCTTAAAAACACAAAACAAAAACACATAATTACCTACCGTAGCATACTGGAAATTGATCCTGGTACTGTCCATCTAGGCACAAAGTACTTGTGACACCAACTAATGTGTATCCATCTCTACATGTAAATGTTGTTTTACC